CCCCAAAACACAGAAGATACCATACACCAAAGTCAGTTGTGGCAGACCAGGCGGCAACATTTCCTCTGAGAATCAGGGGATGCTTCAATCATTTACCCATAGTGAGGGTATCAAAGGATTGCAAGAGAGGATCCGTAGCCAGTGTTGCTTTGGAAGAGAGTTGTGCTGTGAGCCTTGCCTGCCTCTTCCATCCACTTCCCTCTAACCTGGTGACAGGACCCATTAGAGGAAGCCAAGGGGCTTGACAAACACAGGCAAGCTGAGGAGAGGTGGCTGTGCTGGGATCGGCTGGAACTCCCAGAATTTTCCAGAGCCAGGCTACCCCTGTGGACCAAACATGATCACACGTGAGAAGGAACAGGCGGGCAGTGGGGAGGTGGGGTTGGGGAAAGAAAGCTGCTGGCCCCCTCCCCACAACCCTACCTGGTTGAGGGTGGGTGACAAACAGAAGTGAAGGCGGGAGCCTTACCTTTTGACCTGGTTAGGGCCAAGTGAGACCACACTTCAAGAGTGAAAGTGATCGGGACACTTGGTATTGTCTCAGAGCAACCAGAAAAGTTCTCCTCCCCCTGTAAAAGAGAGAGAAAAGTCAAACAAATCTTGACCGCTTAATGCACTGCTTTAGGACTCTTGGCCTTAGTATGTTACATACTCTTGGATACAATATTTGTGTTAAATGAGGAACAGGTAATGGAGGTGGGAGCTTCCTGGCTATTGGATGAACTCCAAAGATGGGATTTGCAGGCCTCATTCACCATACTGGTCAATACTGATATCTGGAAGGGGTGGTGGTCTTTCTGGTTCCTCAAATTATAGTCAATTACCTATAACAATACTGGTCTCTATCATGTTTAGATAGCACACAATCTTAAACAAATAGAAAAATCCAGTCTAGAGGAAGGGCTACTCAGAGCAATAACACATAATCATTTACTGAGAAATCACCATGTGTTATGCCCTGTACTTTTCTTACAACTAAAGTCAAGGTGGGTATTATATCCTTTTCTTGAAGAGGAAAGTGAAGCTCAGAGAGGTTAAGCAACTTCTCCAAGTCCCACAGGCAGTAAGTAGCAACAATGGGATTGGAATTCAGTCTTGTTCACCTTAACCACTACTCCCTGCGGATCCTCTTTCCTGCCAACATGGACTTGGGCCTTTTATTGCACTTTTTTTCCCCCACCTTTGTTCTCTTCTTCCTTTATCCTCTGATCTCTCCCAGGTGATGGGATTCCATGCTCAGCTGCACATAAGTCCCTCTCTTTTCCCCACACCTGGGATACAGGAAATGATCAGAGTCAACAATTTGAAGCCAATGGACTCTTTGGCTCCAGAGAGCACACCAGAAATCTTAGCCGAATCCTACAAAGCGCTGGCCAGGCAAGAGAATGAAGAAGAGAGACGGGTTCTTACTACTTAGTGCAATTAGCATTCTCTAAATATGGAGCTGTGTTGAGGATGAGGAGGGATCTATCTGTGGGCTTCAAGCAAATATCATGGTTGGGCCTCATAGGAGAAGAACAAAATGCCACTATCTCATTAATATGTCTGCCTCTGCTGGCTTTTATGAGAAGGCCTGTGTTTTGTACCCACCACAGTGAAGCAGTTTGCCGTTGGCAAATGGGTCAGCAATGTGGCCGTAGGCTCTTGCTTCCTTCTTTAGGGGTGGTGCTGGTACACACTCGTTCAGAGCCGTAGAAACACTCCAGCAGCAACTGTTGGACCCCCTCAAAGTAGCTGAGCTCCCTTAACTTCGTCTCTGAGGGCACTATCTCTTACTTGTTCTTTTCTTCCTCCGCTGAGTTATTTTTCTGAGGCGGCTTCCATTATGAAACTGCAAAAACCAGTGTTCAGACAGCCAATGAAATCAACAAGTCAGGAGACCTCATGCTAAAGCGGCACTGGATTCAACTGACATTTTTTGATGACTAACGTCAGATTTCAGATTTACATGAGAGTCTTCCTGGAATGAGCTTCCTGCCCTGGGAAGAAGTCAGAGGAGGTGTTTTGTTGTTGTTGTTCGGTTTTTGGTTTTTGGTTTGTTTTTTTGTTTTTGTTTTTGGTTTGTTTTTGGTTTTGGTTTGTTTTTGCCTGGATCTTTATGTGAACTCTGCCCTTGGATGTACATCTGAAAGAAGATGATAGAAATTCCTCTTTGCAAGGAGCTGATCAGATCCCTGATTAAAATATGGTCAGCTCTGAAATGATCAGTGAAAAGAAACAAAGGATGGCTTGATTCCGAATGCTGGAGCTTCTTAACTGGAAAGGGGCAAGACCCAGAGCAGCAAGAAGTGACAATAAATCATTGCTAAGCAGAAACAGGCAAACCAGGCAGGAGGCGGCAAAGAGATTCATTTACAAATTATTTCATTGATCCATCTATCCCTTGATTTAAAAAAATATTTATTTAGCACCTAGTAGGTTTGGCATTGCTTCAAATGCCAAGATGGATGAAAACAACAACAGAAAATATTTTTTGAGCATGTATGTCTTAGTCAGTGTGGGCTGCCATAATGAGATATTATAGACTAAGGGGCTTACACAACATTTGTTTCTCATGGTTCTGGAAGCTGGCAGTCCACGATCATGGTGATGTTCTTGGCAAGGGCTCTCTTCCTGGTTATGTCCTCACATGGTCTTTCCTTGGTTCACGTCTCTTCCTCCTCTTATAGGAGAGATCTCATGTCTTTTCCTCTATTAATCCCATCATGGGGCCGCCACCTTCATGACTTCATCTAAGCCTAATTACTTTCTAAAGACCCCCATCTCCAAATACCACCCCACCTCCAAATAGCACCCCAAATACCATCTAATCCCCCACTGGGGATTAGGGCTTCAATATACGAACTTTGAAGGGGACACAAGCATTCAGATCATAACATTATAACTATGGGCTGGGGTCTGGATAACTACCTTAAATATATTGTTATATAACCCACCTAACAACCCTATAATGTAGATACTACTGATACCCTTATTCTACAGATGAAAATGTTGAAGGCCAGAAAGGCCAGAAAATGTTGAAGGCCAAAAAAAATAATATAACTTAGGTCACATAACTGGGTAGTGTCAATCCAAGCCAGGAAGCCTGTCCGTGCTCTTTAGAACTATGTAATTCTGCCCTAGAGGACAGATGAACGGAATGAAAATATAAATCAGGGCAGAAAGTACAAATAGGACTTTTGCTTCCAGCAATATGTTGGACAATGTACCCAGGAGGACCTCTGTCCCAGTATTCAGTTGCCTTATAACATACCACTCCAAGATTTAGCAGCTTCAAACAGCAACAGTTTATTATTTGTCATAGTCCTATGGGTCGGCCGAGCCAGGCCGGGCAGTCCCATTGCACATGGTATCATCTGTGGGAACTCACGCAGCCCCATTTAGCTGGAAGCTCTGCCGGCTCTAAACTTCTCACCATGTGGCCCCTCCAGCAGGTTAGCCTGAACCTCTTTGATTGGCGTGGTTTCCCAGCTTAGCTTCTCCCACGGCCAAGCCAGCTCCTCGCTCTCCCTTCCCTACGTGTTGGTCCCAGGAGCCCTCCCAGTAAGCATTTGGTCTCAGGTCTGCTTCCTGTGGAACACAGCCTGTGACAGCTTCCTTATCTGAGTCCTCATTTTCAAGAGAATGTTGTTACTCTATCATCACTAAGAATAAGGTTGCAGTACGGTTTTGGTAGGTAGCCTTTATTTGGTTAAGGAAATTCCTTCTATCTCCCCCATGCTGAAAGTTTTTTTATTATGAACAGGGTCAGTTTTCTCCTGCTGAAAGGCAACAGTTCTTTGATGAGGATCTGCTAGAGGTAAACTCCCTCAGTTTACCTGAAAATATATATATTTTTTTATTTTGCCCTCAGTGCCAGTGAAGACCTCAGCCAAACTCACAGTGAGCTCTGGAAGCAGAGTGGCCCTTTAGAACTATACCTGATTGGGACAAAGAGGCGAGGGCTTTGTACCCTGGTGTCAGTGGTTAGATGAAGATGGGTCCCAAGAGGAAGCGTACCCAGAGTGAGACAGTTTTCTTCGACCAAGGTGATCCCCAGAAAGGACGTACAACTGAGGACCATCTTCAGCAGTATCCCTGCAGCTGGGAGAATGAGTCTGATTCTGAAAGGCATATCTGGGTAGTACATGACAGCATCCCCCACATACGCCCATTAATACAATTTCTATTTAATATTGTTTGGAAGTCTAATCAATATAGTAAGACCCCTGCCCCCCCAAAAAAGTTAAGAGGATTGGAAAGAAAAATTTCCATGAGTCACAGATGAAATGATTACCTAAAAAGCTTAAATTAATCTATAGGCAGATTATTAGAATGAATCAGCAAGTGGTTAAAGTAGCTGGACATGAAATTAAAATATAATAGTCAACCTCATTCTTAAATACTAGCCGAAACACACAGAGACAGTTCTCACGTTGGGTGGTAGGTTTATGGGCACTTGTTTTATAATTATGCTTTACAAGTTACACATATATTACAAGTACTGTTTTATATGCATCAAACATTTTGAAATTAAAAAAAAAAATCTTTTTAAAGAACGAAAATCCTGCATCATGAGAGATGTGAGATAAGTACTATACTAGAAAGGATAGAAAAAGCTTCATGGAGAAGGTGCATGAGAACCTGGCCTTGAATTACAAATAGGGTTTGAAGAACAATGAAATTGATCTGAGAGGCAAGTGACCGAGTAGGAGATTGGAGTCCCTCCCACCACCCAGCCCAGTGACAAGGCAGGATTTAAAACTTTCTTATGGCAAAAATGCAGCCTTTTTCCACACGAGGAGAGGGACCTACCCTTGCTTCTGCTTGTGAGGGCTGTGGGACCTTTGTGAAGCTTTGGCTAGAGGGCAAAGCAGGGACAATGGAGAGGCTACCCACCATGACTACACTAATACACTAGGCCTGGGCCCAGGCTCCAGTACCAGGAAAAGTTCTCAGCTTCTGGGATTTGCCTGAGACAAAGCTTCTGATTGTTACATAAGGCATGACCACAAGGCCGGTTCTTTGGGAATATTGTGGTGTTGAATAGGTGAAAGTTGAGCGAGGAGACATCTGTTGTTCTGACTGGTGATACCCATCCACTTCTTTTTCAAGACGCTGCACCTGAATTTGACTGAGGGGAGCATCCCTTCCTGATTTGCAGCCCCTGTAATTTGGAAGGGCTTTTCTTCCCACTTCCTCCAGGGATGGGCATTTGCTGACCCAGGTCTGGGCAGTGAATTTTAATTTCTTTTCAGTTGTCCATAGTGATGGCTCAGAGTTGGGCACTGGGTGTGAGCCAGACCAAAAAGACATTTTCCCGGGTTTTTACCAGAACTATAAGGAAGAAGAATTATTTCTCCTGCTGGCGTCACTGAGGGCATAGGTCGAAGTCTTGTGCTGATGGTAGCCATCTTACAACTCCATGAAGGGATAGATTGCCTAAGAATAGAGCAAAAGCAAAGTCAATAAATGGAGAGGGACGGTTCCTTGAATATGGACATTCTGTTCTTTATACTGCAGGAAATTTGACTAACGCATCTGAGGTGGTCTAATGAAATCCTTCCGTGTTGGACTGGAGAGGCAGTGCGGTGTGGTGGAGGAAGCCAGAGAGATGTGACTCAGATTTTCCTCTCCCACAAACTCACTGCAGGACCCTAAAAAATTAGTACCCTGAGCCTAAATTTTCTCATGTGTAAAATGGAGATCCATAGTAGTGCATATCCCATAGGTTGTCGAGAGTAAATGTGATAACACCGGGCATGACACGCAGAAAGTGATCAATAAATACTATATATTATTCCTTCTTTTGGCATTCCTCCATACCTCCCTTTCTATACTCCGAGGGTCTGCCATTTGTCCTACTTTCCTCCCTCCACCTGAAACTATTTATTTCAGGTCTACTAGCAGAGAGAGAGTGAGAGATTGAGATTATTGATCTAGTCTCCAGGACACATAAAAGCAATTTAAGCCTGAAACAAGACAAGAAAAAGTAGTTTCTTACCAAAGAAGGTGCTCGCAATGACTACTTAACAGATGCCAGCCCTGTGGGCTTTCTTTTGGCCTAATCCGACTGTTTTTATCCCAGAGAACTTGTCTGGAAGTTGGGGAGAGTTAACAAAAGATGGCTCGTAGCCCTTGTCCTTCCGTGGACCCCTACCACTCCTCAAGTCAGATGTGTCCAGATATACCCGGGTTGCCTAAATCCTAGCATGTCATAAAGAAGCCAGAGCTTTGGGATAGCAGTGTTACATAGATTTCCCCGTTTTCCAAAAGGAGATAAGAATTCTAGAATGCAAAAAACACAGGGGAAGGGTCCAGGAAATTCTCTGTTTACAAATCAGCGCCCATAGTAGGAAACTTGCCCACGGTCCTTTACTTGTTTAAATGACAAACCTCTTCTTAGTACTTTCTTTTCTAGACTCAGGAGGAGGGAAATTGGAGCCCAGGATGGAAAATAGATTTCAGCTAATATGCCAGCTCTAGTCAATTGTTGGTATTTGGAACACACTAAATCGAGAAAGATCCCTAGCCTGCCTTTAGAAGGAAATCGTGCTGTGATCAGTTAGCAATGTCTGCCGTGGACAACAGTCAGGAGTGGGAGGACAGTCTGCTAGAGATTTGCTGATCTGGAATTCTGGGTCAACAAGGGGGCTACAGGAGGGGCGGGGGTGGGAAGGTCCATTACATTGCCTGTTGTGCTCTCTGTCCTTCTTCCCGGCCAGACCCTTGGTTTTCTGTTGATCCCATTGTGCATTCTCTTTTTCATGGGTCGAACTGCAGGGAATCATCCCTCCAGGCTACTCCGCATCCTATCTGAGATGGGAAAAGTTGCAACATCTGGTCCTGGGCCAGCCAGATAATGGCATTTTGTTTTTTCTTTCTCTTATCAGGGAATGATCCCCCAGCCAAACAGACATTTCCTGGGTGCACATACCCTGCTGCAGGTGTATTGTCACCTTTTCTTTGAGTTCTTCAAAGTAAAGTTATCAGAGACTCTGGATCATAGGAGAGGCTTCTGGGAGCATCTGGTGAGAGGTGATTCTACAGACGAGGAACCTGAGGCCCAAACGAGAGAAATGGCTGGTCTGAGGTTATGGAGAGAAATGCAGGCTGCAAAGCTTCCCACCACACCACATTCATTTACTTTATTATTTCTCCAGTTCTATCTGCCCAGTTATGGCAACCAAACTTCCCACACAGGGGTCTTTTGAAAAATAACAAAAAATTAATGGCCCTGTGGCATACAGCAACGTTCACAGTGAAGAGGCAACATAAATACGAAGTGACAATGACTAGCTCATGTCTCAAAGGCAAGTAACAGAATGCACCAGAGACTTGAAATGGGGGTAATAAGGAGTCCCATTTCCTGAGTCACATTGAAGTCATATTAGAAATCTTTTTGTAAGGTCCAGAATGTAATAGATTCCTTTATGTGTAATATCTGCTAAAGACAGTACATGAATATCTTGGTAATTGTGCATTTTGATAATTTTCAAAGGGTTGATGGTTTTGCATGAACAAAAATGTATTGAGCCCTACTCTGGGCAAAGTATGTTGCTCAGTGTTAGTAAGATAGTGTTAAACAACAGAAAATTTACCTGAGTAAATCTGAAGATCTGATTGGCTTTATTAAGTGATTTATGAATCAATCAACAATACCCTATCTAGCAAGTAGAGGGGAGCCTCAAGGAGTTGTACAAAATGAAAGGTTTTTAAAGGAAGGAGGGTGGAACAAGAAGATTTTGCAAAAGAAAAGTTTGTCTCAGGCAAGGTCACCTTCCCTTAGGGGGAAGAGCAAGGGGATTATTAGGTGAATTCCCTCATCTTCTGGAGGGTGGAGAGAGCCCTGTGACAGATTACTTCACTGGTGCTAACCAGAAAACTCCAGAATGATTTGCTTAAAATTCCGCTCCTAGGGAGGTTGAAACTGCAATTAAGTTTTGGTTTGCTGTTCTGGGGGCAAGTGACCCCACCTTGGGCCTTGTGTCTTTCTTTTTAATCATAGAAATAAACAAAGCACAGTCCTGGCTTTGCAAAGTTCACAGTCTGGCTGGGGAGACAAATAGTGCAATGTAAATGAAATTATAAAATGTGTATGTAAGGTACACTAATGACACAGAGGAGGGAGAGATTAACTTTGGAAGGCAGCAGGAAATTCTTTACAGAAACAACCTCTGAGCTAGGCTTTGAAGGATAAAGAACTTGTGCACTGATCTTTTTTTCAGTATCATTATGCATTTGTGGTTTTTATGTGTTCAATGTGTTTTAATCAGTTTTAGTCATCATTCTATTGATGTATCAGTTGTCCTGCCGTTAGCCAATGGGAAGGCCTGCTAGTCAAGTCTTCATCTTTTTAACCGGACCTCATTACTCTTTGATCATTTCCTTGCTTCCCTACACAATAACATATCCCCCAACTTAACTTTTCTATTTTCTGCCATTTCTACAAGGGTGTCTGCTTCCTTTTAGTGGAAAGATATTTCAAGACCACAATCTGGGTCCTAGGCTTATTCATTGTTTCTGGGTTGCTATTGCTTCTAGGTCTTTTTAGTGGACAGTTAGGAAAGGAGGATTTTTGAAAAAGAATCATGAGTTCATCCTGATATTTGCAATTCAATTTGAGGGCATTATGCTAAGTGAAGCAAGTTAGAAAGAGAAAGACAATACTTTATGCCCCTTATACTTCATGCCACTTTATTCCACTAATATGTGGAATCTAAAAAAGCTGAACTTGTAAAAACAGAGTAGCGTCCCAGTAACCAGGGGCTAGGAGAATTGGGGAGACGTTTAAGGATACAAACTTGAAACTAGTAGATAAACAACTTCTGGAGATCTGATGTACAACATAGTGATTACAGTCAACAACACTGTATTATAAACTTCAAAGCTAGGAGACTAGATCTTTATTATTCTCAATACAAAAAAAAAGATAATTATTTCATGATAAAAGTGTTAGCTAACACTACTATAGCAATCATATTGCAATGTATAAATGTATCAAGCCAACACATTACACACTTCAAACATATATAATGTATATGTTAATTATATTTCAATTTAAAAAAATCAATGTTTTTATTAACTTATAAAATAATAGTTGTATTATTCTGTTTTGCTGAAAATCTTTGTCTTAACATTAACATAATTACTTCTTTGTTTTATTCTATAATATATACAAAATATTTCCAAAAATAATACCAATATTGCTATAATATATATTTATATGAATTATATTATTTATATTATACTTATGTTACATATAAATATATTGTTATATTTGTAATATAAAATAGTATTATCACATTTGTATCATAATATTATATTACTTTATTTACTTACAACATAAGAAATTGTCATTTTAATAGGTCAAATATGGTCAAATATAGGCAATTTCATATAGTTCAAACTAATACTAACATTAAGAGTACTGAATGAAGTGTAAGACTTATTTGCAACTTTTTTTTGGTTCTTAGTCTATGTTTCACAAGAATGTAAAATACTTTTTATGCAAGTTATTTGAAATAATTATTTTCTTGCTGCAGTTAATGTTACCAATTTGGTAAACAATTATTTTTTCTTTATTTTAATTTGGTTTCAATTTTTGGAAATCTCTTATTTTATTTTACTTTTACTTTATGTTATTTTTTGAACTTGTAAACACGTGATTCCAAAGTCAAGATTTGTAAAATGACATATTTAGAGAAGTTTTGCTGCTAACCTATGTCCTCCATTGTGCACTTTCTCCTCTTTTATTTTTTAGTTTTTGGTTTATCTTTCCAGGGTTTCTCTTTGCAAATATAAGCAAAGATTATATACATAGGTGGGCCTAAGTGTGTTGTTTCCCCTTTCTTGTACAAAAATTCTGTATACTATTCTGCATCTTGCTTTTTTCTTGTGAGAATGTCAGATCAGCATTTTGAGCAGATCATTTCATCTTCCGTAGGAAGAGAAGATTGGAAATGGATATTTCTGCTGGAATTGGGGAGGGAAATTAGGAAGCCACTGCCATGTTTAAGCAAGATGCAATACTGGTGGTGACTAGGACTAGGGTCATGGCAGTGGAGAAAGAGACAAATGGACAGATTTGAGATAACATTTGGAGGCTGAAGGAAGGGACTTGGAGATTGTTTGGATGTAAGGGATACCCACAGCTTTGTGCAGAAAATCTAAGGGGGATGAAATTTTCTATGAAATTGAAGACTAGACCACAGCTACTATTTTCTTAAAAAAATTATTACAGAAAATTTCAAACATATATAAACTAGAAGAATATAATGAACACCCAACATACTCATCACAGAGATTCAACAATGACCAACCTATGGTTCATCTAATTTTATCTATGCTCTCAACTACTCTCATCCATCACCATCTTCCACACCCCAAGAATATTTTGAAGCAAATACTGGGTCTCTTATCATTTTATTTGTCTGTTCAGTATTTTCTAGCACCTTGAGGAGACATTGATATCCAAATCTCACTGTCCCTTTCCCTGATCCCTGCCACTCTGCTAACTGACTCATTAAAGTTCATTCCTTAATTTTAATCCTTTGATCACTTTAAAAATTCAATCCACTTGTGTGTCACAGAGATACCCAATGCAGTTTCACTTAAAAATAGAATCTCTGTGCCAGAAGGTAGTGGTGGAGGAAAAGGTCGCCTAATGGTGACTTATTCATCCTCAAACACTCCTTGGAGCCTGACTTCCCCCATGAAAACCCTGCAGTGTGGTTGGCACTAGAAAGCCCTAGCCAAGTGCCTTTTGTGCCTACAGGGCAGAGAAGGGTGTATAACTCATTTCTCTTAGAGAAGCTCCCCAACTGATGCCAACCCGTCAGCCTCTCCTCCTTGATATCCACCAGAGTTGTGACTTTGAGATAACTTTCCATTCTCATCCCCTAACATTTGGGTGCTGTGTTACAGCCTACATATTTGCTGAAGTGGAAGGCCTTCCATCCCACTTGGAGTCTTCCTTCTCATTACTTGCAGCCTGAAGCTGTCCTGACTTATCTCAAGGTCCTCTGCACCAGTATCTGCTCTATTGCCTAAGCCTAGCCTGCAGGAATTACCATGCAAAGCTCCGTTACCGGCAATTTTCTTAACTTCCTTTAGACCTCCATTGTGCCATCTCTAAAATAGAGTCCTTTTACCACCTGCTTCATGGCCTTGATGTGATGATTAAAATAAGCATGGTACCTAAAGACACTTAGCGCCATACTTCAGATATATACTGTTGTTACTGCATTTAACTTCTTGATCTCATGGGTACCAGTGACCAGTCTTCCATGTTGGTCCCATAGTCTGAGTGAGCTTTCTGTTCTGTCTGGTTGGATTATTGTTATTATCACTGGGATTAGAACTGTCTGACCAAGGGAAGAGTCTTAATCATTGTGAGTCTCAATATTCTCATAGGTAAAATGGGATTTAAACACGGTCTGTAAAATGTGTGGGAGGTATAAAAGTGGCCAGTGCTATGCCTGGCACATAGTAAGTGTTCAACAAAGACTTGGGTGACTGTAAGAGCTTGGGTTGGGGCACTGGTTCAGACGGGGGGTGCCTCTCTGACAAGGTCCTTCTCCTCAGCGTGAAAAGACTCAGGCAGGCAGAGAGAAACAGGAGACGCGGTCCCTGCTGATCTGAGTCTGATGTGACAGGGCTGTGAACAGTAATTGTTCTCCTTGGGAACTGTCTGGGCCCCAAAGCAGGCTCATTCTCCATACATAAAGTCATTTGAGCTAACCTGAATAGTTGAATAAATCCCACATTTCCAGAGTTCTACAAACATCTTGAAATGAGCTTATTCCATTATTTATCAATGCTTGCCATTTTATCAACAAAACCAACTAATCATTTATCTTGTCCTGGAGCTAGGAAATCAATCCAACGTAGGTAGATTATGAATATAGTTCTGGAACTCAGTAGCCTTTGTGCTACTAAACTCAGTTGAACAGGCCTCCAGGGATGAGGGGGTGGGAAGCAGATAGCACCATAGTGGAAAAAGTGGTTTTAATTTTAACTTTTACTCTGCGTTAACCATTTTCCCACACTGC